AAAAAAATTTTCATCTTGAAACTCATGCGTTACTGAGTTACATGTGTTTTCGTGATATGATCGTTTGCTGGATAGGAAAGTTAAAAATTTCATAACTATTGAAAGAAGCCGCATGGGCACAAATCCTCTTAGTCTTTTTCTTAGCATGATGACCCCTACATACGGGCAAAATATGAGCAAAATCGGCGTGGATCAGTTGGGACGGTTCCCTCGTGAGTCTGTGGTCCCATGATTTGCGATCCACTTTAAGATACGACCAAATACATCTATATGAGCGACAAAGCGCTTTGAGCGATGTAGACATCGAATCGATTTTTGACCTTCTTGCCACTGGGAGCGATGTACGTTTAAGCAGGATTGCTCAAGCAATAGATATCCATCCAACGACTTAGCAAGTTTTTTAAGATATTTTGTCCAGTAGACATAGCAAAGATCGTCCAACGGACGCTCATTATAGGCATACGCGAAGAAAATATCGTTCCAATACAAGCAGTAATATATCCGTCTCAACGATGTATAGTAGAAGTGGTCAAGATTTGACCGTTGCAGATCTGTGAACAGAGGATACAGTGCATAAATCCACGAGAAGAACGGCAGAACAAACGTTGAGAATAGTACACGACGAAGAGAAGACGACATTGAACCTCCCAATCTAACCGACTTAATCAAAGCAGCTTGTTGACGAACTTTAATTTGAGTACGACTGATAACATGACCCCAACCCAGTTTTGTACTGATCCAATAACCCAAATACTTGTATGCTTTAACCCATTCAATTGAGTTATCTCCACATTTGAGATTCGGCATCGGGTTCGGGTATCCCACTGCTCGAGCAGACCACATCATCTGTGTTTTCTTATAATTTATTGGTTGAACGGCAAGCAACGAATAGTATTCCAACTGGTCGAAGAATGTACGCAGACGTTGTTCAAGATCCATGACTTGTTGAGTGTACTTGATCCCTATTTGAGCGGAGACAACGGCTGCTAGATCGTCGGCAAAAAAGTAAGACGCTGCCATCGGAACAAAGTGTTCCATATCCGCATGATAAGTAATAAACAGGGTTGGCGTTAAACTAGACCCTTGCGGACCCCCACGACCAATTGGAAACCAACGGGATCGTTTTTCCTGTATCTCTATCCTACCACGTCTACCCTCCAACCACGCTCGAATCCAATTAACAAAGGCTATCGGGATACCCATTCGAATTAATTTACCTAGACATCCTTCAAACCACAACTGATCGAATGCGCTCTTAAAATCTACGAACACTGTGGCTACTGGTGAACTGTTAGACATAGTAGAATATATCTGTTCAAGCAGAAGTAGTACCCGCGTTTGCAGTCGATGTCCCGCTCGAAATCCAGATTGACTATCAGGTAATATTCCCAGATCTTTAAGCACCTCGAGAAATCTATTAAGGAACAAACGTTCTTGCACTTTTAGGAACGAATCTAACAACGAGATTGGGCGCGTCTGCTCTGGTGTACAGATAGAATCTTTCTTGGCGAGTACAATCATTCTAACATCCTTCCAGCGTTTTGGGAAAAAGCATGTTGCGAATGATTGATTGTATAAACGAACGAGCAAATGCCAGTAATTTTTTGGAATATGGCCGAGCAGAAGAGGTGATAGCCCGTGACTGTCAAGCGACCGTTTCTTTTCTCTACCTCTCAGAACTTTCAGAACTTCAGGATAAGTTGCCAATGGTATCAGATTACCATGGTTGCTAAACTCGGGTGTCAGAGTGTCTACATACGGATGCGGCCTCATCACTGTCGGCTCTTTAAACAGTTGTTCATAATAATCAGCTGTTAGATTGGCCATTCTTTGCGGGTCTTTAGAAGATTCTCCATCAGGTGAAATAAGACCTCGAAGAGAGGCTGATGCTTTACGAAAGTGTCTTTTCGTTCGACTCCAAAATAGATTTGATTCTTTTCCAGATTTGTGACGATCAGCTAGTTGTTTAGTTAACTGCTCTTGACGAAATCTTTTGAGTTCATATCTGGCAATATTTCGAATACGACGTGCTTCTTCACGTAGACGAACACTTCCTGTACGTTTTGCTTTCAATGCTATAGTACGACTATGTGCGAGCAGTGCTTTGAGATCATAAGGGATAGAAGATCTCGACAATTTGAACGGAAAGTATGTGGTGCATCGAGATGACAGTACGAACAAAAACTCAACGAAATAGTCATAGATTTTATCGTAACATTTTTCGTCCCATTGACGCTCCCAGAACTCGAAAGTATACGAGAGAAAGAGAGAGAAGACATTCCATATTGTTCTAGACGCCATACTATTTTCGCTATGTTCACAAGTTAGAACACACAAAATCGGTTTATGATCACTCGTTGTGGGCCCTTCATATGTCTGAATCGATTCTCGATTCCAATACCAAGTGCGTAATCTATTGTTCGATCAGAGCGAAGCGACGTATGTGCATCTGGTACAAATGGTGCCATGTCCAAGTCGTCTGCCCAGTTGAGTAGAGTATCAGCTTTATCACCGTCTTTCTCCAAGTCGACATTGAAGTCACCCATGATGATAAATGATGGCGTAGTGAAACGAGAAAGATCATTCCACACCAAAGATTTACTTGCTGGAGCGTATATGCCAATTAGACGGGTAGGTACCTCAAGATGTAGATCAATAATGCATACGTTCGGTAATGAGCACAGAAGGCGTGAGGCAGGAATATTTTGACGTATAAGTACGATAACACCTCCAAACGCATTTTCACCAGCTTGATAAAAACAATGATACGATGGATATGTCGCACCGATTAATGACAAATCCACTTTACCGACTTCACCAAGTACGAGAATATCAAATTGATGTTTCGTTGACAATAGATATACTTCAGCCCACCTTGCATCCAAACCACGTACGTTAAAGCACAGGGTATATAAAAAAGAATGTGCAGTGCGAGAGTCTCGACGGGTCGATAAGAACCAATTAGATAAGCAACTGGATAAAGTTTGAGACGCATGCCACTCTTCCACCATATTTGATAGTAATTCAAAGTCTTTAGATGATAGAGTTTCTTTCGCTGTCAGAAGAAAATTATAGTCTATTGTTTTTCGATCAGGTGTGAAGATAACAGGATTAGTAGTCAAAATCATTTGGTGAATTTCAACATTGTAGAACATGTTGCTTTAAGTTTTTGAACCTCTGTTGTGAGATATACCTTATCTTTTTCGGCTACATTAACATTATGAGCAATTATTAAACAAACATTTTGCATGATGCCATTAACCATAGATTTATATATTTGAAATTCAGCTTCTAAACTATGGAGGTTCTTTTCGACAACTTCAATCTGCTTTTTGGATTCTTCATCACGTCTGCGCATTTCTTCACGAAGATCATCTATAGTTTCACGTGTTTTCTTTGACTCTTCTTTTATCTACGCGAGAAATGAGTCTAATTTTTTCGAGATGAGAGAATCTAGGTTTGCTTCGGTTGCTTGACTAGTTGTTACCGCAGTGAACGGTTGTTTGTACTTTGCAAACGCGAGTGGAAAATCTGATTGGGATGGATTTGCATTAACAAATTCCGATGAAGGTGCAGTAGGTTGTTGAAGGAGATTCCGAGTCAGAGCAGCACGATAATCTTTTACAATACGACATTTTGCATCGGTGGATTTATGATCTTCACCACACCTAATGGATTTTGGTATACGTGAGCAGTCATGCGTTTTGATATCGTTGCAGCTTACACCGCAAACATTGCATGTTGTTGTATCACGATGTGGACAGTTTTTTTGGAAATGACCAATCTCGCAGCAGTTTCCACATATTAAAATTTGTGCTGGAGATAGATACTCGACCACTCGGTACTTCATGTGATCAATCGACATTTCCTTTTGTTGCAAAACTTCATTTCGCGATTTAGCACAGGAAAAGGCCACTTTCACAGCCCGCACGGGGTGCTGCAAACGATTCTTCAGACGAATAACTTCGCTCACCTCCTGGTACTGCTCTTTAACAGATTGTACAAAATCCTCCCAATCACTGTTTAAGGCGACATTCGGTACGACAATACATAATTGTGGTGGAGTAGAGGGTTTTTTGACAACAAAATTTTCACTGCATAAAAGTGTAGGCCAGTTTTCATCATTATTCAAGGAGCAGAAAGAATTAATATCTTCGACGAATACCAGAACGGAATAATCGTTACCCACGCATTTGTGACGATAAGCTGCAATCTTTATTTCAATATTCCTTTCCTTAGCATGTTTGACCACCTCGTCAATTACAATTTTATCTTTTACAATATTTTTAAATGCAAGTATAAATGGAGAGAACGGATATCGTGTAGTTGCGAAACGCCAAGCTGCAGACGAGACTTCAACCCCGTGTAAATTTTTCTGACTGGACGATACAGATGGTTCTAGATTGACAATACTGTTTTGACCATTTATTGTTACGGTCTTCATCTTCTTCGGTGTATAATATCGAGAAACTCGATGACGAGGAGATTGATGATAGGATTGTTGATGATTATCACTTGTATCACACGATCGGTTGACATCCTCAATTTGTCTCTTGGCAACTTGCTCCATCTGATTATTCACATTCGTTGGTGCAGGGGTAGACGTTACCATCGGCTGATTCATCAACGGTGGAGGAACAAAGTTATTCGATGGTATGTACGAAGAGCACAGTGGTGCTTGATGATGATGATACGTGACTTGTTGTCCTACCAAGGGTGGTACATATTGTTGCATTCCTTGATTTAAAGCAGTGTATGGTTGTTGTTGAAGATGTAACTGTTGTGCAGCTGGTGGTGAAACATACTGATTAGTAGCCATTTGATATGTTTGTTCAGCTGGTTGACCACTATTGTTATACCAGTGTTGAGCTAATACTTGATCATTCAAGTAATTTCCCTTTTGAGCAAGTATTTGTTCACTCGTTGTATGAGACGTGTGCACATAAGCTTGATCGCTCGTCATTGGCGATGGTTGTTGGGATGGGTGAGGGGCAGAATACATTCACGCAAACTCTTCGAAGATCTTAGACTTCGAAATTTTGCGAGAAAGTACAGAAAAAAAAAAAAAAAAAGAAGAAGAACAAATATAACGCACTTACAATCGTATTGTGTACGTCTTATCACTAGAGTGGAGAACAAGAGAATGAGTTTATTCCACCTATTAAACTTATTGTCAATTAAAGTTATTTTGACGAAAGATATCATATTATCAATCAGTACAAAAGCATTATTGTTGGAGTACAGTTTACTCATTTGAATATTTACTGTAACGAGGTATCTACTAAAATGTTGATCAAGATCATAAATCTATTACCTAATCTTAACTTATTAAAAGTGTCATCATTGTCGAAGGAAGATGCAGAGATTCCTTCTCAAGTGTCCATCAATAATAATATTAAAACAGTTAATCTCGAAGGAATGATTGAATTGGAACAAGTGCAACTATTTATTAATCTTTGTTCTCGTATGCAATACTTTCAATTAGTTAGTGTAAAAAACATGGATCCCGAAATTCTTGTAAGATTTATTTTGATAAAAATCACTACAGACATTCCTCATCTCTGTTTCTTTAGTGTTTGTATTCCAAATGCCAACGACAATATGGTTCACGATCTACAAAAAATGATCTATTCAGAAAAACTTCTTTCTAACTGTACGATCAAACGTACATGTAATAATATCTCTTTGCAATGGAAATTAGAGTAATTTATTTGTTTTAATATTAACTTCTCTATTATAATTGATGGTCAGTAAACAAAACACTTGTCTTTATGGATCCATATCACATTTGAATCGCAGTAATCTAAAAGACATCTCTTCATTTCTTTCGATAATATATTTATTTATTTAATCAAATAAACAATGTTTTCATTTTTTTTTCTTTTTGATTAACTATTATAGATTTTATTCAACATTTCTGATTCATCAGAAAATACGTCTTCTTTCATTATGATTGCAAAGTTCACAGGGAGATAGTCGCAATGAGGAAACTGTACAATCTTGGAATTCTATCCCATGAAAAAAAAATTTGCCAAAAACTGCGTTTGAGCGCGTTTTATTTTTAGTTCGCATGTTTTCGCTAGAGTTTAAACGCAGTTTTTAAAACGCGTTAGAACGCATTCTTTTTCACTAATAACGCAAACAAGGCGTTTCATAACGCATCCTTTTCAATGCTTTTTTTTTGTTATAAAATGGAGTTTTTTTTCCTTCAAAAGCCCTTTTCTATTCGTGTATCCATATTACTTACTTTATCACATTTACATCATTTAGTTGTACATTTCTCAATAACCTTTTTATCAATAATTATAAAGAATTTGAGAATGGTATATCGTAATCAGTACAGCAAAAGTCGAAATATAGTTGACATAGTCAAATACTTTTTCTATTTGATACTTAAACATTTTGTTAGACTGTACTAAAGCACTTAAATATATCAACGGTATTTCGACTTTTACAGTACTGATTACGATATACCATTCTCAAACTCTTTATAATTATTGATAAAAAGGTTATTGAGAAATGTATAATTAAATAATGTAAATATGATAAGATAAGTAATATGGACACACGGATAGAAAAAGACTTTTGAAGGGAAAAAAAATGAAAACCTGATCTTTTTTAATTAGATATTTTGAAGATGATTCAGGAGAACACACTCAAGTATATTATCTTACCATTCACTATACTATATCTCAGATTCAGGACATGGAATCAAGATGAAACTTATGAAGGATGACGTTGAACCCAAATGACGAGTTTTTATCAAAAAAAATTTGCGATTGGAGTTTGTGAACAAGGTTTTTACCTGAACTGTCCTTAGATTTTTCTTTTGCTGTTAGTGATATTCTGTTTTTTAGAATTTAATAGTAAGTTACATCGAATTTTATCGACAGATTTCAAATTTCATCTAAAAATATTGCATCGTTCAGGAGTTATAATGTTTTGAAAATATGCTAAAATTTCAGTAACCTATAGCGAAATTCGGAACACTGTAACTTCTAAACGATTCCATAATTTTAGACGAAATTCGAAATCTGTCGATAAAATTCGATGTAGCTTACTATTAAATTCTAAAAAACAGAATAACACTAACAGCAAAAGAAAAACCTAAGGACAGCTCAGGTAAAAAAAACTTTTTTCACAAACTTCAAACACAATTGTTTTCTGATAAAAACTCATCATTTGGGTCCAACATCATCCCCCATAAGTTTCATCTTGGTCTCATACCCTGAATCTAAGATATAGTATACTGAAAAATCCTGACTCAACCACTAGAACTATAATCGAGACCTTACAAAATCAAAAAAATGCCATGACTTTTATATAAAAAACATGAAAAACATGACATTTCAGATCATGAAACAGTAATAAAAACTGATCTATTTCAATTTCATTAATGAAATTGAAATATGTCAGTTTTCGTGTTCATTTCACAAAAGTCATGAAATTTTCTTTAACTTTTTGAGTCCTTGAATATAGTCTGATATGTCTAGTAACAGATGCACATTGACATATGCAACACCTTCACTGGATAAATTATCTATTAATTCTTGCCGTTTTCTATTGATGAATGTACAGTTGTTGGGTAAAACTCAATATTTCTCAGAAGCGTGCGTACATATTGTTTATCACTATTAGCGCCATCTATCAAATCATATTTGAAATTGTATAGGAACGAGTAGATACATTCAAAAGAGCTTTTAAATTTATAAACAGAAAAGAAGCAAGCAAAGATTTAAAAAAGAAATATTTATCAAATGGAAGTATTATGTATGTCTTTGTTTTTACAGTGCAACTTCATTGCAACACAACTGGTTGCGCAATTAAAGATAAAAGACGCGGAAGAAAAACAGAAATAAATAAATATTTTTACAGTATATCTATTGACTTTTAAAGAAACATAATACAGGAAGAAATATAAGAAGATGAAAAAGAGGCAATAAGAAAGACAGATTATGGGTGCCATCGATATTAATCAGAACTATGTTTAGAGGGGACGAACAATTTGTGCTTCGAAGTGCACTATTTCTCGAATGTTGTTTATATACATATTCGAGTTTTTATTGGAAACAAAGCAACTAACAATTCTTGATGGTCTATACAGACAATCAATAACGAGGGAAAGTAGCTGAGCTGAAATTCGAGTAGAACAATGTGTAGACGATAAACAAAATACAGTATTTGTTTTAAGTATTACTTGAAATGAATTGAAGATGGAATTTCTTCAGATTGCAAGTACATCGCGACGCTACCCATGGTATTTATATGGTGTGCGTAATCTGAAGAAAAACCTTGGAACTGTCATAAAAATAATTCTCTAAATATGAATCGCTAGAAACTTTGTTAACAACTTCAAAAGAGCATCTTATGACTAATGGATACACAAAAATAATTTAACAGACTGCTTATCTCGTGATATTATCTTATCTGAAGCTTTTTCAACTTCCTTAAGAAATCTTTTCAACAAATAAACTTAGTCGAATTTCTCTGCATTTGTACATTTTGTTGTATAACTATTTCTTACTTTCATAATATTGAAATACATTTTGATATGTTATAGTCAGAAAATTCA